GGTAGTGAGCGGGTACAGGATGTGTGTATCGCCCAGTATCACTTGCGGAAGTTAAAAGAAAAGTGCGCAAGTTTAGGCAGCTTCGAAGTCAAAGCGTGTACATTTTAGATGTAACAATGTATCCCGTTCAAAGCATGCGTAAGTTTGTCTGTGATCGACTAACAGCGGCTGCCCAAGAAATACTGGGAGCGTTTGAAAAGAGAGTAGAAGAGTACGAGTCAGAAATCGCACGTCAACGCAGACTGCTGGATACGGTGTTCACACCGGAGATAAAGTTGAAGAATAAAGGTCGGTCAGATTACCTTGCTCCTCAGTAAAGAGTCATGTTATGCCTGAAACGATAACTGGTTAAAATGAATCAGTCCTTGGATATATTTATTTCTTAATTGTGCCAGGATCACTGTGTGGTCAAACCAGTTTGACAGGTATAACGTACTATTTGGTTTCCACTGAATTACACAATTTATTTTATTTTTAATAGCTGGATGTTGTACCTCGGTAATGTAACAAAAGCTGACACAAAGTCCTCAAATCCTCAGCTGAACCAAAGATCAGTGTAATGCTGGGCTTACACTGTGCGATTTTTTTTCAGTCGCGCGATTCAGCTCCTGCTCAAACTGTACGATTGACTCGCAGGGGTTAGATGTTCGTAGGTCAGGATGCAGGGTCTCACACTATACAGCCCGATGCTCTGAGGCGAAATGAAGGTTATAACAGAAATTCTGTCGCTCGCTCTCTCTTTCTGTCTTTCGCTCTCACAGACACACACACCACCACCATCAACTTTGCTAGAATGCTAATGAAAAACATTAGCATTGCAGCTGTGATTGAGCAGCAGTGTAAATCCAACTATTTTCACGGTTGTTGTATTTTCACGGTTGTTGTGATAATTTTGTGAGGCCACATCGAAAAGGCTCGGATGAGCTTGCCATAGTTCTACAAGTTGTGCCTCCATCGCTTGTGTCCAGATCACACGCTGCTATGCCGTGCTGCGCCGTCTTCTTCGCTGACATTTGTGTTTGCGCGTGCGCAGTGTGAGAAGCTGCGGTGACACCCTCACGACCAAGCGATTGATTATCGGGAGCAGTGTTGCCAACTCCTCGATGCATGTCTTGGGGAAGTCGTCTCATGTCACGTGAAGGTCGAGCGGGTAATGAATTATGGACAAGGCAATCATTAACACATGTGTCTCAGCAAGCAATGGTAATAAACAACTAAGCGGATTTATTAGATATAATACCGAGATACAATTTTTAATCAAAATTTCGGTGACATATCACATCAATACATTTTTGCATTCAAACTTCCCAGCAGGTTTCATTTTAACAGCTAGAACAAAATGTATCCAGTGTCTTACTATTATGTGTCTCAGTTGGCGTTAATGATGATGAGGACACATCCTCATTAATTATTAGAGCTGTAATTTGCACGGTCTCTCCCAAGCACGGGGCTTGTCCTGTTCTGCTTCTTAGTTCACAGAATGATTTGCACAAGTCAACAGGATCAGATGAGGAGATAAATAACTTTTGATGTGCCAAATAATGCCTTTAGGTGAGGTTGCATTGGGGTTGCCGTCTACATTTTTTGCCTCTGTCTTTAAACTCACAGAGAATAATTTTTAGTGTGCTTGGTGGTGAGTCTGGTTTCTCTACACTTGGGTGCTTTGTAGATTTTAAAGAGGCAGTCCTATAATTTTAAATTTAGATCCTGAAAATGAAAGTCGGTTGATTATTGAGGTTGAGGTCAGTTGAATACTACAATTATTGTTTTTTTTTATCAGTTCCGTAGATAGACTTTAGCTCTAAACACCCACGTACAGGTCTCTGTCCTTGTGACTATAGCACTACTGGAAATGCTATTTGGAAATGCTTTTTACAGAATGAAACTTTTTTTCTCCTTTTTCAGAAACCAATACAATAATTAATAATGTACAACAACTTTAAAATTTAATTTGATTTTATTTATGCAGCACCAATTCACAACCAAGTCACCTCAATTCGCTTTACATTGTAGGGAAAGAGCCCACAGTATTAGAATGCAAACCTCAACATTTAGATGTCCAGCCAAAATCAAATAATTACTAATGACTGAATGCAATTGTGATACATAAACACTCAGAGTGAAGAT